TGGGGAGCTGCATGAAATGATTATAAATCAAGGTGAAAATTTCAAAGGGACTCTGAGAAAGTCGTAAGTGTTTGGAAGAAGCAGTAAAATAAGAAAGACAATGATTTTCAAAATGGGAAGGGAAGGGCATCTTCATTTGGAGACAGGTGCAAGAAATGTATTAGGAACCTGCACTGGGGACTCCCAAAAAAGCAGAGCCAGGGTGTGGGTGGGACAAGCTGTCCAGGCAAGGAATGGGGATGGGAGAAGGAGTTGTGCTGAGAAGCCTCCAAATTGGTGAAAGCTGAAGAGAGTGTTGGGGCAGAATAGAGCGTGCAGGTGATGGAAACTGTTGCTTCTGCAGTCTCTGTTGTCTGCTTGCTTCTTTCTGCTTCCCCTCTCAAGAAAGAGAAATCATACTACTGCTAGAGAGTGCTGAGCCTTGAGCTACCCTACTATTTCAGAAACCACACTTTTAAGGTGGCAGGACGGCTTCAGGCCTCCCCAGGAAGCCACAGGCTCTCTCCACTCCTGAGCCTTGTGGTGTTGTCCCCCTTGGTACACAACAGTCAGAAGGGACCTCTGGAGATCATCCAGTCCAACCACCCCATCAAAGCAGGACTGCCAGCAACACCAGGTCTGGTCAACAGTGGCTTTGTCTAGCCAAGCCTTGAATAACTGCAAGACTACTGAAGTTCTTCCACAGGTCCAACGCAGAGTGAGAATTGCAGTACAGGAGTATAGGGTTGAGAATGTTCAGAAAAAACAAGTAGTAATACAAGGCCTTTTTGACCACTAACAATGGGAAACAATTTTTTTTTTTTTCCTTTCTCTGCCTTTGCATATTTTCCTTCTTTGTAATGTGCATAATGGTGCTAGTTGTTGAACAGTGCCAAGGTAACACTAAGCAATTCCTAATTGACTTGGTATGCATCTTTTGACTTGCCTTGGAGTCAAATGAATGTTTGTTCCTTCTCTTATTTCTATCTTCATTGCTGTGGAGAAAGAAATCTGGATGTTTTTCTAAATCGAGTGTCCTTTTCAAAATTAACTAAGTCTTCATTAATGGTGCAGAAATCCTCATTAATGAGAACAAGACAGTTGGCAGAGGCAGCCCAGTTTGGCATTCCAAATCCCAGGCTAGGACTGGCAATTTAAAATACAAATTTAATGAAAATTGCTGTGAATGAAGGAGATATAGGTCCTCATCTGTCATTTTCTTTTCTTAGTGAGATTTGTGCAGGGAATGCAAAATCATTGACAGACAATTACAGTTGCTGAAAAGAATCTTTTTTTCAGCATGTGATTTCACTTTAGACCATGCTAATGCTGAGTGAAGATTTACAGCAGGAGGAGAGAGTACAAATTCCTAAAATAGCACATTGGTCATAAGGCCAAGATTTAATTTTCTGGGTAGAAACCAGCTGTAATAAGCCTAAACAGCATTGTGGATCAGGGAGAAAGGTGAAAATGTGGAAACATTTTTCTCTCTACTAGGTCCTGTTTTGGAATATGCCACATGTTGAGGCTACCTCAATACAACATCATTTGTCACCAACAAGGTCTGCAGCATGAGTGTTATTTTATTCTAGTCAAAGTTGTTGCTAATTGATTAGTGCTCGCTGTCTCACTCTTTCAATTTTTTTCTGTCACCACCCATCCCTGTCAGAGGCAACAATCACTCAAGCATGAATGTCACCACAAATGTGACCGGCCTTGCTTCAGTGCCGTCACTTGTTCCATTCGATGCACTATGCAGCCATGCACATCTAGTTTCCTTTTTAGTCTGGTTTTCAGATTATTTTTATAATCAGATCAGCTATACAGGAGCAAATCAAAAAATCAGACAAAGATGGTAGGGCTTGCTGGATAGAGATCCAGGCGGAGCCCTTTCCCAAACCTTCCAACAGCTGTATTTGGTGTACATGAATTCACTCTTGCAGCTCTGAACCTCTGAGTCCTTGATCATTCCATAGGCTGACCTGAAGGGCAATACTGCTTTGCTTGACATTTTTGCTTGAGATTTTGCCCAACGTAAAAGGGACTTAAATTTTTTCTAGAGAGCTAGATGCTGGTTTTCCTTTATTTTCAGTGCTTCAATACTTTCCATTGTGGGGTTGTTCCTTACATTTTCCAGTCTCTCCTCCAGTGACAATTCTTTACAGCCGCGATGCTTCTTCCCTTCTTGGTCTGAAAGGTCAGCAGTGGCTGCCCTTTGAGAAAGCCGTAAGTGAGTCTTTCTCTTTCCTCACTTGGTGAGTCTGAGGCTGCTAACCCTCTTTGTAAAGACTCTACAATTCTTCCTCAGTCATCCTTTTTTTTTTTTTTTTCTTCTCTAATGAAAAAAGCAAGCCATCACAATTTGATACAGGATTTTCATAAGCTCCCTTCAGTTCTTGTAATAGTCAAGCTAATGTGTGTGGGAATCACCATTTTGGTAGCCTCCCTTAATACATCTGACATGTGCAGGTTTCAGTGCTGTCCAGTGCTGCATCCTGCAGCTCTCCAATGCTATTCATGGTAATGATTGTTATTATTTCCCTGGCTTTTGTGTTGTTTGCCATGCACTGCAGAACTTATATGTGAGTTTTTTATTCACATCTTGTATTGTAATTGTGTTTACAGGCCATAAAGAACTATTCAGTCAACAGTGGTCTCTGTAAGAGTCTGTCAGTATTTTTGGTTGGTTGGTTGATTGTTCTAGTCTGACTTCTAGGAAACAGAAGCTGAAACTCCACTCTTTCTCCATAACAGCTTTGGAATTTACTTAACCATTTCAGCAAAATGGCAAAGATCTTGTTTAATATGCTCACTTAAAGAGAAGCTACAGTGAACACATTTAGTCCTTATCAGACATCATAAAATTGGTATCCAGGATAATACTTATGAAATTCCAGCATCTTTTGGAGTTTATACCATCTTAAGCACCAGAGAATTTAACTATCAGTCCAAACTTCTCTCTTGTGTGGATTCTCTATTGTCTGTAGGTGGTCAGCTCATTTTACAACCTCAGTATGTTTCAGTTAAAACAGTAAATCAACTGCAAGGCACAAATAGTGGGCGATAGAGCTTCGTAAGGTCCACTGTTGATGAAACTATTTGTTTTGGATTTTAACCCAAATTTTGGGTTACCCAAATATAATTCTGCTGCAGAGATATAACCATGCTTAATTCAATTAACATAAAAATTATAGTAATTAACCATTTTCTACCAAGATGTGAGACTGTTTGGTTAATCTGAAATTGATATATGCATGAACTGTCAACAAATATTTTATTCCATCATATTCTTTGCAATATTCTTAGTATAAATATGACAACAATAGGAAATAGACTAAGTTAATGATCCTTAGCCTCAAGTCCACATGAACTACCACAAACATATGAAGGAGCTTTAGTCTAAAGTAAGTACCAGGGCATTTCTGCAAAGTTTAATTTATTCCTTGGTGACAAAAATATTCAATGTATCTTCTTCCAGAAGAAACTAAAATTAGAAACCCTTTGAGTATTATTTGGTGGTTTTGGCTGGTGAATGTGTGCATGTGAGCAACACAAAGCACTTGCCTGTGCAGATACCCTCTTCTCAGTGTTAATTGTTGCTTCTTATTTATTTAACATCATTTAAATAAAAGGAGGATGTGGTCTGCACAAGATCTGCACTTCTGTGATGTCTCGCAGCTGCCATTATGGTGGGTCTCGATCATCAGATAACAGAATGACAGAATAGTTGAGGTGGGAAGGGAACTCTGGACGTCATCTGGTCCAACCACCCTGGTTTCCAGGATGAGCAGCTCCATCACTTTTCCAGGACTCAAGGTGAAACTGACTGGCCTGTAGTTCCCTGGGTCCTCCTTCTTGCCCTTCTTGAAGACAGGAGTGACAGTTTCTTTCCTGCAGTCTTCAGGCACTTCTCCCAGTCACCATGTTTGATCAAAGATTACCGAGAGTGGCTTTGCAATGACATCTGCCAGCTCCCTCAGTGCTTGTGGGTGCGTCCCATCAGGGCCCATAGACTTATGTATGTCTAGTTTGCTTAAATATTCCCTGACCTGCTCTTCCACCAAGGGTACGTCTTACTTGCTACAGCCTTTCCCTGTGTTCTCTGGAACCTGGGATTCCTGAGTCAGATGAGATGTGATTATGTGAATTCGTTCTTCAGACTGTTGCCATGACTGAAGCTAGCAGGTCTGATGGATAAGCTTGGAACTGCATTTTAAATTGAAAGTGTTTTTTATGTGAAAACAACATAAGTAGGTATCTAAGGACACCTTACAACACCTACGAACACCTGCTGCAAGTTTTCCAGGTGGTACCTGTGAATGCGGCAGAATATGTGGAAAAACTACATAAGCCTTTATAGTCAATACTGACAAGATCCAAAACATTAGAGGTCCTTTTTATGCAGGTCAGTGACCTATGCTAAAAATCTGTGGATATGGCAAGAAGAGATGTGTTTAACCAGGGGTTTGTACTGATGCATTCCGTTACTGAGCTGACTGGAACAGACATTGCCCACTGGATACGAAGCCATTAAAGCTATACCTTTATTACTGTTCTGCTGATTCAGACTGTGGATAAATCTATCATCCATTCTCACTGCTTAATAACCAGCTGTCACAGTCCTTGTAATGTAACACTTTCATTATATTGAGAAATAGGACACACAAAAGGATAGCAAATGATCCTGGGAAGTCTTTCCCAGACAGATAAATGCTACTAACAATAAAATAAGTTATTATTAGCATTGTGATGTTAATGAAAATTATGGACAATTATCTGGTCTTGAAGCTGGCTCTTCCCTTTCTGTATAGTTTTTTGCGTTTTTTTCTGCAGAAGACTTAAAAAAGACACCCACACCGGCTGCAGACGTTCGAGAGAAATGGTTCATACTATTTATGCAGTGGAAATTCTCAGGAAACAGACTAGATTAGGAAAAGATTGTCTAGTTTGCTAGTTTAAAACTTTTGAATAATGGTCACACACTATACCACAAAACTGATGTTGATTACATTTTCTTTTAGGAACGTCTCTTGATGAGTCTTTTGCCCAGGAATGTTGCAATGGAAATGAAGGAAGATTTCCTGAAGCCTCCTGAAAGGATTTTCCACAAGATTTACATTCAAAGGCATGACAATGTTAGGTAAGATACATGTAGCCCATGAAATAATTTAAAGCAGAGAATATTTAGTACAAATACAGTGACGTGCAATTGCAGTCAGGTCTTAGAGGAAAAAACCAAGCAGTACAGTGAAGATTTGTTGTTTATGCAGAGGGGGAGAATGGGACCACTAGGAAGACTTAATAGTCTTCTCAGAAGAAAATGGTGAATCAATAAATGGCTTAGAATAGTAGTGCTGGGAGGCAGACAACTTTTTTCAAATGAATAGTCATTCTTTTTGTACTGTATTATGTTTTGGGTGAATAAAAGTATTTATTTTGCATGGTAACTTTTACACATTTATATTTTCCTGATAGTAGGAGGGATTACTTTTAATGCAATAGATTTTCTGGGTAATAGCATGGACATACAGAAAGAATGTGTGATGTAAACTTAAAAATTATGTATCTGTCCCCATCATATGAGCATTCCTCCTCAGAGGTTATTGACTGAGGCTCAATTCTACTTCTTGCTCTTGTTCAGTAACAGGCTGTTGTGCAAGTGCCCTTGTTTATACTGGTTGTTGTTAAAGTGTATTCTCATTTGCTATTCTTCTCTGCCCCCCCCCAACAAATTCCTTAAAGGCCTTGACTGAATGGTGTTGTTTTATGATACTGTGATCAAAGATTACCGAGAGTGGATTTGAAATGACATCTGCCAGCTCCCTCAGTGCTTGTGGGTGCGTCTTGTGGGTAGCGTCTAGCTACTTTTTCTGCAAGTGCCTTGCTTCCACACCAAAAAAAGGGTCAGAGGTTTACTTGGTGCCGCCCTTGCACTAAGCAGGGTGCAGGCTTAATAAGTGATGCTGCAGAGCTGCCTTGATTTGCACCATGTACTCATGTGGCAAAGGAGTAAACTCCCTTAGCACCTTCTCCTCTCCCTCATCCACTGGTAAGTTCCTTCTCTTGGGGTTCAGTCTATCTCCAATGGAGACGACTCTAATATTTGCAAGGACCACTTCCTAGTGACTAAGCTGTTGCAACTAATAGCATTTATGTCAGTGAGGGAATCAGAGATGGCTGTGATGGGAGTGTTTAGAAGACTGACAAATTAGGTCAGTTCTACACTGTAAAATTAAACATTACTGAATTTATTCATTAGCAGCTCACTTCTTGCTAATGGTTAAATCTAACATAAAGTTGATCATCATCACTATGTGTAGCAAACTCTTGGTCTTTAACAATCAATTTAAAGTTAGCTCTAAGTGTACCCCAGAGCTAATGCTGTGAAGTTAGCATTGTTGGTTACAGTCTTTGATGGTTCTCAATTGCCAAAGTCAGGCTTGAGAGTTCCTGAAGGAGAGAATTCAAGATCAAAGTGGGCTGTCTTCCTTCTTCTCCAATTTTCCTTGTTTATGCCTCATGCTTTTATGCTGTTGTTCCCCCACGAACACCATTCGTCTTTTTTTCTTTTTCTTGCCCATCTTCTATCTTTGGATGATGTCATGTCTATTTGTAGTCACTTATGCTTATCTTGTCTGCTGCCTGCCAGATTTTTGTTGCTTGGGTGCCTTCTACTATATTTCTTTGTCCCTTTGGTGATCACATTGCTTATATACTTATAAAAATTGTGTCTACTTATGCCATCACAAGTGCTATGAAATACATGTATACTACTTTGGTTGCACTTATATTCAGGTTCAAGGCAAGCCAACGATAATTATATCCTGATTAGTACGCTTATATCTTGTATGTGTCACAGGTCTGCATTAGTTACAGTGTGGCTAGTCTTCTTGAATGGCATTGCTTTGCAGCTGGACTGGTTGATTATCATGCTTCTGAGTTCTCTCTTGTGCTTAGATCTTTTTGAAGTATCTCGGGAGTACCCTTTTTTTTTTTTCTACATGAAATGGTGTTTCACATAACCACTAAGGCTGCTGTGGCTTACTCACTGCTTCTATGTGGAGCTCATAAAAGATTTTGAACCTGAGTACCCTGTCTGGAGAGGTGAATGAGTTCTCTGACATTAAGAGGGTACTTTTGGGGCAAATGGAAGCAAAGTAAGATGGTCTCATTTTAATGTCAAAGGAAAGATCCTCAGGGAAGAGAACTGAAAACAGGAGACCTCCCCTCACCATCTGTACTATAAGAAACTGTATTACCTTTTATATCAGCAGTGCAACTACTGTATTAAAATAAAAAGATAAAGGGGGGCATAGTGTCCCAGTGAATACCCAGCAAGCTGTTGCTAGCAGGTCCTGGTAGGCCAGAGTTTCACCGCAGGAGCTGTGTGACTGCAGATCTGAACGACATGGGGGACCTCCCTGCAGGTGCCACTCTGACACCAGTGTGGAGGACAGCACTACAGCATCCCTCCGGGAAGTGCTGCTGTTGGTCAGTGCCAATAATAAGATGTGTGCTTTATCTTTTTAAGGAGATGAAAACAACTTTTTTTTCTTTTGAGTAGTGGCAGTTCAGTGCTACACCAGGCAGACCTAAGAGACCACTCCCCTATTCTCACCACTTGTCCTCTTCAAACCAAGCATTCTGTAAAACACCACTATTAAAACAAACAAACAAACAAAAAGCCCCTCTATTGTCCTAAATTCCTGGAGATTTTAACCCCAAAGCTGCACAGTGGAAAATAGAAAACGAGCTGCACTTTTTACCTTTCCTATTCTAACACTGTCTTTTTCTCCCAGCAAATATCTGGAAGTGTCAGAGCATTATCCTCCAGAAAGGATAGGCTGGAGGAGGTAGGCATGCAAGTAGTAACTGCATGATTTTTCCATTCCTCACCTATTAAAAAAAAAACAAACAAAAAACCCCAACAACAAAAAACCTCACCAGCAAAAAACCCCATCTGTTTCAGTCTTCTAAATATCTGCCTGAAAAAACCAGGGTCTTTAAGCACTAGATCTTGTATGTGAAAAATAAGGGATTCATACAGCTACCTTCTTTACCTTCTCCCAGAAAAACACAGGGGGATACATTACAGTGGATATATGTATACACCCCTGTAAGAAGAGAATGATGGACAGGGAAAAGATACTGGCATATTTCAGATACACCATGGCAACAGCCCTGGTTTATCAATTAGTTGGTAAGTATTTTACCAACTATCAAATAGTTGTTTAATGGCTGCCTTCAGAAGGGAATGGAAACATGCCTCTCCATGTTGAGGGCAGAGCCCTCAGTGTTGTGTTACGCTTCGATGAGCTCTTCCCAGATCTGTAGTAAAGACAGGAATTTATTTTGCTCACAGATAACTCTCTTCAGTTAGAAATCACTTCAGACCTCCACCTTAGTACCCAAGATTTTATTTTTCTTTCTGCAGCACAAAGCACTAAATTCCTTCAACAACAATTGAAGATTTCTGTGGGGAGGGGGGGCTAGTTTAAAACTTACTTTATATTTCTATTTGAGACTGTTCTAAGGGCATTAATGAATACGGCCCATAAAAGAACACTGAATAGATGGCTTCCTATGCAGAACTACAGTGCCATCAAAGGAACTTGCAGGGGCCCTGGGGAACTGTAGTCGTTTGTTGGCAAAAACCCTTTTCTCCTCCAAAATGCTCACATTCAGCAAATAAAAAGTTCCTGCTAAGACAGACACGTGCAAGCTTCGTAACTTGGGGAAGATCTGTTATATAACTTTACTGAAAGTGTCAGAAGGGCAGAAGGCGGCTGAAAGCTTGAACCCTCAAATGTTCCTCCAATTCCAGAGCTTGAACTTTTATAATTTAGTTCCAATAGAAGCAGATCCTTTGCACAATGCTCATGCTTACTGCTTGAGCTTTGCAGAAACAAATACTGACAGTCCACAGTCTGAAATGTTGTTTGGCTACTTGAGATAATTTCTTTCCTTGTTCTGTAACTCTTTATTTTTCATTTAGCTTTTATATTTTTAAATTAATTGCTCTGAATATTTTGTTTATGTCAACTTTTTATCACCTTTATTTGCATTTTTTCCCCTTCCTTTTATTTGGCTTCTCCTAATGCAGTTTTGTGGTGGTTCTGCTATTTTTTTTGCATTATTTGAAGATTAAGTGAAAGATACAGAAAGAACTGCTTTTTTTCTCCTCTCTCACAATCCATTAACTGTTAACTTTTGAAGAGCATCAAAGCTCTCTGTTCAGAAGCAGTTTCGTATCAAAAGAGAAAGATCACTAGGCCCAAATTCACCTTACTTTTGGAAGTGAGATAATGGTACAAGAAAAGGTTATTACCCATTCCAACCCCCTGTACATATTTGTGCCTGTGCAAAAAGGAACAAGATCTCTTTCCCGGGCAAGTTATATTATTTCCTGTGTACACTGTGTAAAGGGTAGTGGTTAGAAGAGAATATATTTATCTATGGAACCTTCCCAAAGAAGAGGTCAAAAGGAATTGTCACAAGTTGATGAAAATCAGTCCTTTGCCAACAAATTCTTAACTCTACAGATATGCTGCTGCTTTTCCTATTTTTTGTGTGGAATACCTGAATATTACCCAATAATCTTGAAGGAGATATGACTTTTTTTGTCAAAGAGGAAGAAATGAGGCTTTTTGTGTATCTGTTACCTCATGAAGTTTTTGAGCAGAATTGCTGTAAAGTAGGAAATGAGTGCATGTGTTTTAAATGGAAACAAACAACTTAATGCAAATGCAATATGCAAAACAAGACATGCACATCCAAAATTATTATAGTGTGAACCCAGTAAAGACACTAAAGTCAAGCATCAGGAATGTAAAATAATTGCAACCAGTATAATATTGATGCTTCATGAGAAGGAAATAGTCCATATACAGTTCAGGAGCCATTTCAACACAGTATAGGTGTTATCTTACTGGGGTGACCCCAGCCAAGGTTACAATGAAGGATGTGAGGACCAGATGTCAGCTTATATGTGAAGACTCCCCAACAGAACAGCTCTTCTGTGATGCTCAGGAGTATTGTTTGTAATATACAAGAGACAGCTCTTTCCTAAGATTAGGATAAGTAATGTAGGATTTATATTTCTATTTCTTATCCCTTGTCTGGCCCTACAGGGTTGAGGAA